GTCAGAGATCCAGAAGAAAAAAAAATCTGTCATTTTTAGCAGGTCAGCTGCGGGATAAAAAGAGCTGCTAAAAGTATAAATAGCTGTGTTAAATCATTTTCATTTATTCAGAAGCCGCAGCGCTGCGCACCATTTTGTTCGTATCTGAAAAAAATCGTAGAATACGAAAACATTGGTGAATGTCACAAATTCTCCTAAATCACTCGTACGCACAATTTAAGAACAAATCTGTGCGTACCAACGGTTCTTGCATGAGGCCCACTGCTGGTAAAATATACGACAGGTCTGGACCACTCCTGAATTTTGTTCGTATCTGAAAAAAATCGTAGAATACGAAAACATTGGTGAATGTCACAAATTCTCCTAAATCACTCGTACGCACAATTTAAGAACAAATCTGTGCGTACGAACGGTTCTTGCATGAGGCCCATTGTGTGTAGAATGATTGTAATTTGTCTCAAATATTGAAATAATTAGTAACAGGTATTTATTTTTTTTTAATAATTTACAGATTGCTTTTCACAATTAGCTGTTTTGTGTTTTTTCTGCTTTTTGCGTTTATTGTGAAGTTGGTCTTAAATTTCATTTTAAGTGTCATTAAAGAGGTCTTAAAACGTCTTAGATTTAACTTTCCTTAAGCTGTAGGAACGCTGACAGTGGATGGCGTCTGTGGGCGGAGCCTGAGAGTTGTAGTGTTGTTTGGTTTGGAACCACGCAGAAGGATGTTTCTGTTGAGACTCACTGCGATTTATAAAGTGTTTGTTAACAGATGAAACTTGAAATTACTGCATTTTAAAAATTTAATTAAATCTTTAAAACTTCCTGATGTTTTGATCCTCAGCTGTCAGAGCGGCTCCAGGTGGAAGTTGTGTCTCTCAGCCTGACGCCGCGGTCTCGGCTGGCGCAGGACGACGGCGTGGTCCGACTGTTTGTGGAGTACAACTTCCTGGATCTGCCCACGGAGGAGACCCCTCAATCTCTGCCCAAACCCCCCCAGGGCCGGAGCATCAACTACAACTACAGCAAAGGTTGGTCCCTCTGATTCGAACACGAGTCAGTGAAGCTCCGCCCCCAGCTGCCAGCTCAGATTATTGCAGGAGATGTTTGCACTCATCCTCTGTTTTTCGATGAATAATTCTCCTTCAGCAGCAACCTGAACCTGCTCCAACACAAATTAACCTTCATCCTGCTGGGATCCAACTCAGAGTGATCCCGACCCGCCCAGCTGGGATCAGTCGGGAAACCTAACATAAACTCAGGACTGGAGGAGGGATGTTTGCTGTGAAAACATCTTTAATGCATTGATTTATTGTTGGACAGAGTCGTGTTTGTTGTTCCACATCTGCTGGAGAGTCTCTTCAGTTTTCTGTCAGATTTCACATCCAAGTACAAACAGACTCTCATCAGATTCTCATCTGTTCCTCACCGGTTTCTCATCAGATTGTCATCAGACTCATCATACTATCATCAGACTCTCACCAGACTCTCAACAGACTCTCACCAGACTCATCAGACTCTCAACAGACTCTCATCAGATTCTCATCAGACTCTCATCAGACTCTCATCAGACTCTCATCAGACTCTCATCAGATTCTCATCAGACTCTCATCAGACTCTCATCAGACTCTCATCAGACTCTCATCAGATTCTCATCAGACTCTCATCAGACTCTCATCAGACTCTCATCAGACTCATCAGAGTCTCATCAGACTCTCATCAGATTCTCATCAGACTCTCATCAGACTCTCATCAGACTCTCATCAGACTCTCATCAGATTCTCATCAGACTCTCATCAGACTCTCATCAGACTCTCATCAGACTCATCAGATTCTCATCAGACTCTCATCAGATTCTCATCAGACTCTCATCAGACTTGTGTCTTTAATATTTGTTGGTTCTGATACAGTATTTTAACACACTCTGCAAATGGAAGAATGAAGTTCAAACCTCAGTTTTTGTTTCCTGTAGTGGTTCCTGTAGATGCTGAGAACAACATGTCGAGGCGGCGCCTGCTGAGAGACGTCCTGCAGGGGCGGAACCCTCAGATGGAGAGGTGAGACAGGAAGTGAGACTGAGTTGGTGTTCGGACTTGGGACATCTGAAGAACAGGTTCAGTTATCTGTTGGAGTCTTTGAGGCAGAGAAGAACAGAACCCACTGATAGGACCGCCTGACATGACTGGATCAGTTCTGTTCAGATGTAAAAACAAGAACAGATTTTAGCTACAGGATCTACTGCTGTACTCTGATGGTTCGGATCGGGTCTCTGCTGGATCAGTGGTCCCCAGTTTGAGTTAAAGGTTGGAGCAGACTCTGTAGATGTGACTGAATGACCCGACTCGTTCTGAACAGGGTCCGGTTCACGGTGGTCAGCGAGCCGCCGGAGGAGGAGGAGCAGGAGAGGGAGTGTGAGGATGTGGGCGTGGCCTACCTGAGGATACCTGAGATCCTAGAGAGACGGGAGGATCTGACGGAGGAGAAGCTGAAGGGTGAGTACACACACACACACACACACACACACACACACACACACACACACACACACACACACTCACTCATGTTTCTTTTTATGTCCTTGTGGGGACC